ATATGCACTTCTAGCCTTTGATATCGAAGTCTGAAGAATTACGGAACAGCTGCTGATGGTGGTATTGGCGATATATTCAGATTCAGTAGAGTGTCTGACTCGTGAGTGTTAATCTTTAACGTTGTTTCATTGAACAGATTACGTACTGCGCTTTATTCTATATTCATAGACTATGGTGAACATGGTCAACAAAGGTTATGAGCCCAGATTACCACTGTATTTTGACGGAGACAAGTCAAAGTACGAATTGTGGGAAGTGAAATTCCTAGGCTACCTTAGAATACAAAAACTTCATGACATTCTTTGCCAAGATGACCAGAAAGAAAATTATGATTTTATGGAAAGAAATGCGACCGTGTTCGCCGAATTAATACAATGCCTGGATGACAGGAGTTTGTCTTTAATAATGAGAGAAGCCAGGGACGACAGCCCTCAAGCTTTTAGAATATTGCGTGGACATTACTTGTCAAAAGGTAAACCCAAAATTATTGCTTTTATATACTGAACTAACCTCGTTAAGGAGACGAGAAAATGAATCTGTAACAGATGATATTATACGAGCTGAAAATGTCACAAATGCCTAAAAAATGGCAGGTGAGACTATCTCAGATGGGCTGCTAATAGCCATGGTTTTAAATGGATTACCAGTAACATTCAAACCATACACGACAGTCATAACTCAAAAACATAAAAAATTAACTTTCACTGAGTTTAAATTTGCGTTACGTAGTTATGAAGAAACTGAAAAAATGTGTTATCCCCCAAATCGAGGCAGTAACGTAATGCAACTGAGAACGTCATTTAAAAAATTCAGAGAACCATTCCCTCAAACCTATCAGACTAGGAATTATGATATTAAAAACAAGGGGCTTAAAAACAACTATTACAACAACAACAACAACAACAACAACAACAGGAACAATAATAATAGAAAATCAAATATCATCTGCTTTCGTTGTGGAAGAGCCGGGCATGTACGTGCGAAATGTCAATTTATACAAGGAGTGATTTTTGTAAAAATGTAAAAGCTTTTTCGAATGAGCGAACATATGCTTTTTCGTTTGGGTTGGATACTATACCCAA